CACTGACTTGTCACACCAGATGATCTTTGTTGACCGTATCGCTTTTGGGGGGGTCCTATCGCTTTCCAAGGAAATTGGCAAGATCCGGCATTCCACGGTCACCCTACTCTTAACTACAATTACGGAAGTTTTGACGGATGCTCATGTGACGCCACAACATATGTGACACCGTCGAGCCTCCTATGCAGTCCTCACAAAGCACCTATTTCCATGCAGTACAATTAATACAATGCCCCACCATGGCTGGATTCAATGGCCACTGGGGTCAAGGAAGGTGCCAGCTCCTCGTCACAAGCGCCATGGTTTGCAGCTTCAAATTCATATGCATTCTGGAGAAGCATGCCCCGCCACACTCCCTGCGTCCACGACTGAAATTGACATCACATGAGACGAGAGGCTTGTAAATGGCGAGGCCGGAGGTCCCCGCCGCTAAAAGAAGCCAAAATGCCGGCCATCAAGACACGACTCAGAACCACCGACGAGTTCTACAAATTCTAAGAGCTGTAGGCCAACCTACCTATGAGGAGATCCACGGTTTCATGGAACGATATCAGCCTACTTCCCAATGGAGCTTTTTTCGTTGGGGCTGAGTGCCTCAGGGTCTTCTGCGGCTGGAAAGCACTCATCAAGCCCTCAGCCTGAAATCCGAAAGCGAAACGTAAAAGGCAAGGAAGCACCTTTGTCCAGCCAACCCGTCTGGAACTGCGAGCAAACGCGATCTGTACAGGAAGCAAGCTCCTCTTGCCCACCAGACAGAAGAGACCAAACCGTTTGCATCAACATCAATTTGTAGTACCCTGGAGCCCTGGATAGAATGCCCCGAGAACTCTGAACCCTTTACCCTAAATTGCTCAGCGAGATGGTTCAAGTCCGCTGGCCAGCCCCAATAATCATTGCAACGGGAGCAAGGCTTGAGAACCGCTCGGTCGACGCCAAACTACTGGCAACCCCTTGTGAACTTGAACATGAATTCAATTTCAATCCCATGCTAGGTTACTAGTCTGGGTTTCCGGCGGTGGGAAATCGCCGAATGCGGCAAGAGAGCAAAGCCGCAGGAGGTGCAACGAATTGGAACTAGCAGCAATCGAATTACGGGCGGTCCATGCGCAAAGTGGCTTAACGTCAGCAATTGAGGAGGGATTGTGCCGGGGATTTCGTTCAGATGCACTCGGGTGCTTAAGTCAGTGAACACGTCGGGAGCCATGTACATGCAGAACAAGATCATTCCCGGGATCAGCCCGGAGCCCTTGTGTTTGCTCAAGGCTTGATGTTTAAAGAGTTCGCCGCAAGGAGAGCCCGTATGCCAGCACGGGTTATCCCTTAAAGGAGCACATCCACCGGCACGCCCCCAGAAAACGGGAAGTCTTGCAGAGGTACACTTCTTCATGGCAATCTCGGTGCTGTCTGGGGCTTGATATGATTGCTTCGGACTCGAAGCTTGCTCTTCGAAATGCTGGGATTATTTGTGCACGCCTGGGCTTCTTGGAGGAAGATGTGCGAGACTTGCAATGGCCTAGCCTGTCGATGATCTGGGCCGACCTCAATGCCACGAGAAGTCTCTTCCATGAGGCTGATGAGTGGACTTCGGAAACCCGTTTCCTGGGGTGTAACAACGGCAGCAAAGTTGCTCGCCGCCAATTGCTATCCGCCACAAAGAAGACGGGTGGTATTAGACCACTTTTGGCACAAAGCCTATGTCCAGGTTATGCCATCTAAGCTGGAGCAGCAAACAACGCCAAACTACTTTTCAATGAGAAACTGCCGCTCTTGCACAACTGCATGTACCGCAGATTCGGCGCTGCTGCGTTTAGCTCACAATGCACTCCTCTGTAACTGCGCTCAGGCCGACGGTGGTCCATGCACTACCCCTCTAAAAGGAGGACGGAGGAAAATTGCAGCGTGCGCCCGTGGGCGCGCGAAGCATAGGGATTCGACCAGTGCCCAGTCTCACGTGGACTCGGGTCCATTGTTCTGGGCTTGAAAGCCTGAAATCTTCCTGACCAGCCTTGCAAGCATCTCACTACAACAAAGTTTATGTGCATGTCGGTGCATCTTTCAGTGCGCATCCTTGCGACGTGACACGAAAACTGTACGAAAACCCACACAATTTCAATTTGAGAGCGCCACATCTACCAAGATCATTAATCTAGCCATGTGAAGCCATCACCCATGGCCCATGAGTCATGTGGCAGACCACCTTTCCAAGCGACATCTGCCGGACTCTCAGCCGAGCAAGCCCCCGGCACTGAAACCTCGGGCGCGATTCTGCTTGAACTCTGCAGGGCTCTGCAAAATGAGGATCCTACCCCGCAGAGCAAAGTCACTATGTTCAGATACTCCCATATTGAAAGGCGACAGCATGGTCTGGGTTCGCTTATGGATGAATCTTGCAGGCAAGACCTCTGTCACAGTGGCTTGCGGGCGGCATGTTTCTGCTGCCAGTATTACTACAGTGGTATAGTTATAAGTAGTTCGGGGAGAGCTCATACCGGGCAGCGAAGCAACTTCCTCGATTAAAGACAATCCGCTGACTTCGAACGAACACACACACACACAAAACAAAAAAACACAAACACACAACTCGGCCGCTTCCGGCTCTCGAATCTGGACCACTTGGAGCCCGACGGCGGCTTGAGCTTTTTGGTGTACCTCGACTGCCTGGAAGGTTTGGTATTTCGCCGAGCTGAACCCAGGCTTCGAAGAAGACTTGCGGCCCTTTGTCTCGACGGCTGCAAGGTCTTGATGGGGCTTGGCTGTACGCCTTTAAAGTGGGACGGAAGCGATCTGGACCCCTCCCTTTCCAGCAGCAATCGGACTGCGAAGTATCGCAGGGCCTTGAATGCCTGCGGGTGAAGGAGCTCTGGAGGAGGACCTGCACCGTGAAACGGAATGAAAAGGCCGAGCGAAGGGTGTTTTCAAGCGAAGTCCGAAGGATTGAAGACTGTTTGGACTCACACTGATCGCAGACTGCCAAGCCCCAACATTGTAATAGCTGTTGTGCACTCATTCGAGGCTCCGTGCCATCCGTATCACTCTCACCTATCATCTATGTACAATCTGCACCACATCCTGCTGCCCTTCATGTCAGGGCCCACGCACTCAAGGAGATGCATGTAAACAGAAAGGTCAACTTCTCCAGACTTCAGCGAAGTCCTAAGCCCCAAATCCTAAAACCCTGAAGCCCTGGAATCCTTGATGCCTTCAGCTCTTTCCAAAAATGCCAAGCAAACCAACCTCTTGGGGGTGTGCGGTCCGCCTGGATCCGGGGCCGCTGTGCCGAGAGTTCACGGAGCGACTCCGACTCCGGGGCAGGGGCCCCTGCGCCACTGCCGGGGCCTCACTGACAAAGAGCAGCTCTCTCCGAAAGCCATGCGGTTGAAGGGGCTAGCGGCCAGTCTTGAGGCTTGTAGTATGAGGTTGCTACAAGGGCTATTACTCAGGACCACAAGATGGCAATAGGGGTTGGTATAACGACTAGGGACTAGGGCTGGGTTTTGGGATTAGGGGGTCTGTGTTTCGGGTTTCGGGCTTGGATTTGGATTTTGAGGGTTCTGGGAGTCAAGCTTAGCAAAGCTCCAGATGCGAAGCTTGAGTTGTGATCACAGATCCAACGGCAGTAGCGCGTCGCTAGGAAGGGGTATAAGTCGTGTTTTGGCGCTGTATATAGGGTGTATAGAAGCCCGATGCACACCGACAGCACGAGGCCGGGACGGATGGGGAGCGCTGCATCCCGGAAGGGTTCGGCATCTGCTCCAGCGAGCGTGCCTTTGTTGTGTCGGAGGTCATGTAGCCCAAGCCTACCGGGTCCTACAGTCAAACAAAGCTAATGGGCAAAGGGGAGTTGCAGAAACATGCCGCGTATTACAGAATAAAGTATTGGCAAGTGGAGGCCTTCGAAGAGAGGATGCCCAGACAAAAAGAAACCCAAAAGGTGTTTGAGCTGTACCTGCAGGGATCATGGGACTTGTGCTTCTGCTTGGGGCTAGAGGTACGCTTATGGGTGTGTCCTGATGATCCCTGCTTAGATCCGACTTGATCAGTAACTCCTAAGTATAACCCTGCTTATAACCCACCTGATACATCCCCGCAGCTGCAAGAACAGGGAGAGCCCTGGACCGAGCATCCCACCGATCCGCTCCGCCGCGGAACACTCGGCAAGGCACCGTTCAAGGCACCTGAGTCGTCGAAGCTTGCGGGTTTAAGCTCTCAGGGCTTGGGGACTTAAGGATCTCGTGGGTTAAGTCGGATGGGAACGGGAGTTTTTGAGTTGCGGGTGCTCCCGGCAGAAACCACTGCTTCACATGAGACTCGAAGTTGTATGGCCGATCTTCGACGACGACCTCTGTCCCGAGATGCTCCGTCGTGCAATACAGAGCAGGCAATGCTCCCACCATTGTCCAAAACTTCAAAAATTAGCTTTACATGGGACCGGCAGCAAGGGGTTGCCTGCTGTGATATGGACCCTTCTCCTAGCAGAAATTCCGACATCCGAAACCTGAAGCAGATGCGATGGAGCTTTGAACCGACAGTGGCCTGCCCCATCAGCACGGGAGGGTCCGGCAATGGCAGGTGTGCTTCCACCTCGGGGCAGTTGGAGCTGAGGGCTTCAGATCTGCATACTGGCTCTTTCGCGGTTCACAGAGCTCGTAGGAGGACCGGAGCTCCCAGAAAAGGTGAGAACTTGCACGCTGAGGCTCTCGCTACGCGGATAGGCAGACCTTTGGCACCCGCACAAGTGAAATTGAGTACTTGCAGGAGTCTGAACAGTCTGCGAATGTCCTGCTTTACTGAAACATCATGACAGCTTCCGAATAGTTGATATTTGCTTGCATTGTACAGCATGTCCAGCTCCGCGCTGCTGTATGCCCCCTACCCACAGCTGCAACGAGACATGCTCCCTGTGAGGGCTTGGTGCCGAGCGAGCGATCGATGAGCTTAGGTGGCTCTTTGCGATGCCGCAGCTTCTGCAGTTGCTCCTGGCCAGTCGGGTCTGCCACTCTGTTCCACTTGCGAACTAGATTGAGATCTTGGCAGGAAATCATCGTGTTGACAGTCATGTCCTGCATGTACTGATAAACTTGCAATCCGACCCACATCCAAGATCTCGCTTCCGCTGCATTGTTTCGCACGGCCGACAGTGGACATCTTGTTTGGGCATCTGAGATGGACACATCCACTGTCTGCTGAGCGGAAGGTAACAGGAATCATTTGTCTTTGTGGTCTGTCGAAAGAGGATCTTCGAAGTTCAGCGCCTTGTTGCTTTACTTTTCTCTTTTTCCTCAGGCATATTTATAAAGACCCCAGGATCAATCCTCACAGGGAACTCTCGTCTCTCGTCCCCATTTTCCAAAGCCTAAAGGTCTCTCCAAAAAAAAATCCAGCTGCCGCAGCTCCTCTGGGCTCATCCAAGTGTTCGGCTTCAGGTCCTTGGCATCGGAGCGAAAGTTTCGGAGGAGTTTCTTCACGAATGCTAAGTTACCGTGAGCCTTGAACTGCAAGGCGCCAATGACACCCTGAAGCCGCCAAACACCGAGCTTGCTTTTTAGAGCCTCAGGCAATGGCTATGACAACCTTTCCGCCCGGCTCTTCCTTGATCACCTTCGCAGGTAACCAGTCCTGGGTCGACAGCTCACGAGGCTACCTTGCCGAAGAGGGCACACACCGAACGGTTCCCGAGGGGACGCAGCATGAAATCGGGTACATAGAAGAACAAAGAGACGAGCTGTAGTCCTTCTCTCTCACTATCTATCTACGTATCTATCCATCTGTCTATCTATCTATCTATCTGTTTGCGTATCTACGCAAGCATGTACATGCGTACATATGTAGATATGTATGTATCATTCACAAGTGAACAAGCCACGGGTATTTGAGGGTATTTGCTATTTCAATAGCATATGACTGCAAGTTCTAACAGGGCATGATATAGCAGAAGGGTCCCAACAGCCGTTGGCCGTGAAATGCTCACAGATCCTGGCAACTTAGGCTTTCTATACGACCCTTAGACCCATAATGAACCTACCATGTTTCATGACCCCTGTACTCTGCGTTGTAAGTAACAAGAATCTGAATGAAGAATGATTCCTGGAAAGAGCCCAGTTTTTGGGTTGATAAGTGCGCAGGGTTCAAGGTACCAACTATGCGTTCATTGAGCTCCCTGTGGGCACCCTGCACTGTGTGTGGCGGAGTGGTACTCCACATAGTCGCCCTTCTTGAAGGTGGGCGCCTGCGACGTGATATCGCTTCGGACTTCGCATCTGGTGGACGCTGAGAAGACGACGACTTTCTGGTTTGCAGGGTTGGTTGATCCTGCCGATGTCCGTTCTTGACCGTATGCAGGCAACTATGACTATGAAGCAACACAGCAGCAAACACGGCCAACCATCCAACAAGTTGGAGCTGTGATTTGGACGATTTTGAACTGCTTTGTGCTCAAGACCCGGTGCACCACAGGGGCAGAACATGGAACGTTCATCTCCAAGCCATGAGCCCGATAACACAGTCTTAAATGCGCATGGCGCTGTCGCATGGGAACCGGGGAGACTTGTTACACGGCTTGACAGCATCTGCAAAACTTCTAATTGCGAAGCAGTCTAAGACATTCTGGCTGAAGACAAAGAGCACCACACGTGAGTCTCATGTTCGTCTAGGCAAAACAGCCCAGCCCGCAACGTATAGAACCGATTTGGATCAGTCAGTCAAGTTCTGTCTGGAACCTTGTAATGTACATGAAGAATAAGAATCACTTTCTTTCTGCTCATGCACAGAAGTCTGCCTTATCCACAGTAAGTAATGTCTCATGATTCACCACTTTTGGGAACTTACCGGTGATGCAGGATTAAGCCCATGGAATACCAGGGCCTGAAAAGCCCTGTAGAAAGCCCGACAGATCTCGTAGAACACCCGCAGAGTCGTGTAACAGACCTACAGGAACCAACACTGAAAACCCCTATAGCCCCATGTAAAAAAAACAACCCAGCAACCGCATCGAAACCTGTAGCATGACCTTCGCATGATGGAGCTTAAGAAGCTGCTGTCTTTGCCCGGGTTGCCTTCGCTTGCGGTGGACCTTCTGCAGCCTGGCGGGAAGGAAGCTCAGGGTTTTATAAGGCAACACAAGTGGGTATATAGGGCTGTAAGGGCAGGAGTTCAAGTTTCCATGAAACCGGAAGCAGAATGTGTACCGGTACCGTACCTTAGAACTTCTTCATGTCCCCACCCTGGTAACCTGACTTTAGGTTCCGAAAGAAGAGTTCAGGAAAAAGTCATGTGAGGCACTAGGGATAGCTTAGGGCTTCAGAGTCTGAGGCCAGAGGCTTCAGCGCTTGAGGGACTTAGGGGTCTTCAAGGCTTGATCGTTTTGGGGATTTCATGGCTTGAGGTGCTGGGGCTCCTTTGGTTTGAACGCTCCGGGTTTCAGCCTGAGCACCACCCGCTGGCCAGAGACTACCAGGCTGACAATCGAAGCAGGCAGCAGAGTGAACCATGCAGAGGGGCGCTCAACAACATGTGGGCCGTACAGAATCCTATGCACTTCCTCAACACATGGCCCCATTACGCCCTTTTAAATTGACGGTGCCTCATGTACTTGTACCTTTCACGGAGAAAGCGTCAAAACCCCGAGACTCGCTCACCGAAACCTTGCGCACGTCAGTCGAAACTTGCAGGGATGGCCTTGGCCTCGGTGCAACTACGAGGCTTCGTCTTCTGACTTTGAGCACTCGCATGTCGGGTAATGTCTAGCTCCAAGTGTCGAGACTCAGGCGTTGAGGGGTTTCGTCGGCTCTCTTGGCGGAAGCTCTTGCTGTCCCAGTACCAGCCGCAACTCCTAAACCTTTCCAAGCCTAGGCAGACAAACACAAGCGCAGAAGACGGCAACTGCCTTCGTTTTTGCTAAACCTTCCAGTGCAGATGCGAGGCTTCGTCAAGCAGCTGCTGCACGATAATCTGGATTTCGGACCTTGTTTGCACATTAAGGGGTTCGGAGGAGCTGTTCGAGCAGGAATTCGGACGGAAACTTCGGCAAAGAGAGGGCTCTAATGCATAGTCTAGACAGTATGATCCTTGTTGTAATAAAGCTCCGTGGAACGATCCCCACATGCAAAGATATCCCGGAATCATTTTATGGGATACAAGTGTATATTGTTTGAGGGCTTGTCGAAGGCGGTAGGGGGTCTAGCCGTCGGATCCCTCCTGCACCCGTGTCAGTGATATAATGTCAACAGCTGTATTATGCACATCAACCAAAGGACAACCAACATGCTTTAGCACAATATAATGTAGCACATCCTACTGTAAAAGAATATAGCACAGGATGATGATGTGACCTAGTCTACAACAGAAGAACACAGTAGTCGTGGCCGTAGGGATTCTACAGATTTAAGTTTATATATCCGGGCTTGTAGGTTCCTTTGACGGATTCGTACTCAATTGCTCGAAACCTCTCCGCCGCAAGCAAAATGAAGAATCAGGCAGTGAAGCTGATCTGCAGCACCACTGAACCAATAATACCGGAAGCCCGCAGCACCAAACTAACCAAAACGGAAACCCTGAACCCACAAGCGGCAACACACCAAGCCTGTAAATCCTAGGCCTAAGCCTGAAGGGACCTAGCTTTTCTGAGGCCCCTGCCGCTTCAGGATGTCGTCAGCACTGGGGCGCCGGCCTACCCGAGCCGAGAAACAGAGACATATTATAGGGGTTTCGGGTTGTGTTATATATACACACTCTAATCATAATAAGGAACCCCCCAAAATAGTATTGGTAATTGCCCTTATGCTTGCAAGTATATTAACTCGGACATAGAGCTCCTTGAAAGCCAAAACAAAGACGAAGCTCAGGGCTTGGGGTTGAGGGTGTTAGAAGGAACACTTAAAGGTTTCGGGTATTTTAGATGCTTGCTGCCGTAGCCACGACGATCCGACTGTGAGGATGGTTGTTGGGTCTCGCGGAGCTCTTGGAGTCCGTTTCTTGGCTTGTTCATGGTACCACAAGTAGATCAGCTTATGGACTAGACACCTGCAGAGCCAAGCTCTTGAGGATGATCTGACAAAGGAAGCAAAGCTTCTACTGTTAAGGGATTGTGGAACGCATACGTCGGTGATTACTAGGTTGCAGCGCCCCCCCAAAAACGTATAGAAAAAAACAGACACCGCGACGGTTCTTTCTACAGGTAGCCTCCCGGCCTGGGTTGCGGTCAAGCATCTCCTCACAGAGCCTCAGAAGGGAGCTTCGGGGCTTCAGTCCAGAGCCTTCGGGAAATCATCTGGAACAATGGCGTTTCTGGGCCCCTCGCAGTCGCACGCATTCGGAGTAGCCACCAGGCACCAAAGGCCTCAGTGAAAATACAGGGTGGGCCCCAAGATCGAAACAGAAGGGGTCGGACGCCAGAATTATCCACTTCAGCGTCGGCTCTGATGAATGATGTCAGATATTGGCTCTTCCACATGTGCCCGTCTCCGTGTCTGCAGCTGTCTCTGTCTGTGTTTGAAGATGCGTACTACGATGCGCATTGTAAGCTTCTCGACGAGTTATGTGCGGCAAGCTTTCTGAAGAACGACGAAACCTTCTCAGGCCTCAGGCCCCAGACTTCAGGGCTCTGGGACGTTAGGGCTGTGAAGTTGCGCATCTCGAGGTCCCTTTGCCTCACATCTTTTGAGGCACCCACACTTGGCCGGTGATTATCCGCTGCACGAGGTGATGGATATTCTTGCCCTCGAAGGGCACCTGCCACACGAGGCTCTAGCTCTGCACTTTGAGACCAGCTTTCAGCTGTGGGCTTCATTGAAAACGCTCTGGGCTTCAGCCCAGCCACCTTGAGGGCACAGAGCTCGTAGAGGATGCAGCCGAGAGCCCAGATATCAGAAGGCCAGGCCTCTTGATTTTCAGGTGACTTGCAGTTTGGACGAGCTTTGGCTAGAAGAGGTTGCTGTATCTTGAAGCGTCGATTGCCCGCACAAAATGTCATAGCGAAGGTTGCAGCTGTTAAATACTCAGGGCTGAACATCTAAGCGCAGAATCAGGATGCGGGACTGTCTTACATGCGTGTGTAGTATGATTGCATTTATCATTGACATTACTACGAGGATTCCTGTGATTACCAGCACTGTGAAACCCGGAGAAGTTCAGCCACCGTCTTCGCAGTACATCGACAAACAACACGGATTCAGCAAGCCGGAGGGCATCATGCATGCAGCCCTGCAGCATGGTTTCAGAATGTTCAGGGTGAGACGTCAACGGCCATCTGATTCCAAAATCCCGAAGCCGTTGGGACAAAAGGATCAAGCCAACTTCAACCACCCTGCCAAGAGCCAGGCATAAGGTTGCTCCTCGCACACCTGCGACGCCGGTGCTTCTCATGCAGGCAGCTGGGACGTCTGCTCCGCCAGCAGCTCATACTATTACGATCTCTTACGGAACGGGGCGAGCATACGACGCGTTACCCGAAACTGTGCAGCCTGAAACAACCCCCTGTTACTAGCGCAGGGATAAGGACTGCCTGGGCCCTTCTGGGTCTGGGCCGCTCCACTTCAGCTTCAGAATATGTAATTATTGTAATAATTATAGCTATGTAGCATGTCGTCTTCGGCACCACTGCGGTTCTCCCTTCTCCATTCTCCAGACGACCCGAACGCGGCCTTGCCTCAGGGCTCAGGTAGTAAGGCGTCCCAATCTGCGTGCGAGCCTTCGGTACAGCAGGGTATACATCACCATGATCCTACGATGGAAGGGCTTTCCATCGGCGGCTGAGCCATGAGTGCTAGACAGGTTCAGTTTATAGTATCATGATGCCTTGATCAGATCTGTGTCGAATCTGGCCTTGACATTCCTGAACCTAAGATGCTGCTTGAAGGCATGAAGCAGAGCCTGAAACCCAGGTCAAAAGGAACTTTGCGCCGATCCCGAGGCCGCTGCGCAGGCTAAAGTGGAGGAGAGCTCCTTGGAGATGCCTGGCAGAGAAATCAAGAACTATGATGTGATGTGTCATGCAAGGGGCCATAAAGGTGTTTCCAGCGTGACAGGCTGTGAAGTTCAGACTTCGAAGAGCCTACAAAGCTTCAGGGCACGGGGCCTGTCGGGTTGGAGCCTAGCTTGCCTAGCATCATAATCATCATTGTCATCGTCAATCTCCTCCTCCTCCTCCTCTTCTTCGTCATCGTTGCAGCGGTCTTAATGAAGACGCCAACCCATTCGCAACAGCCTCCTCCCGCAACCAAAGCATCCAGCTGAAAAGAAGGCGATGTACGCACCAATTCATGCAGGACCCTGTTTCCGTTCAGCCAGTGAAGGATCACATTGCGTGACCCAGTGAGATTGGACTGGGAGGGTCTACCCAGGAGGATTGGAAGGGTGACACCCGCGGAGCCCGAAGCAGCACGGCATGGAAGTCGATGGTGTTCCCCATTCCAGGTCTAAGGTTTCCAACGGAGGCTTCGACCTTGAAGCATCAGGGTCCCAACCTAACATGGCCGGCCCGAGCACGTTGTCATCGACCAAAAACGTGTCGGGTTGGCCGAAGTCACCCATCTTTAGCACACCTGCAATGCTCTGGGGCAGGCTGCCGCTTTTTGCTTGGCTCCAAGAGTTGGCTTCTGGGTTGTGGGTTTGGGGTTCAGGATATGGTCTAGGGGTGCTTACGGTATAGGGATTCTCGATCGGATTGCACGCTAGGGCTTAGAGCTTGACGCCCTGTACTTGTGTGAATGCAAGATCCGGGCGCGCTGCCACCCTAGCCCTGACGGCCAAGTTCACAATCTTAGATCTTCGTCCGCCCAAACTCACAAGGAGCGTGCCGTTCTTGGTGAGGAAGAAATTCCCCGGCTTCAAGTCCCGGTGAAGGATGTGCCTCCCAGGTTCGGCAGCCTAGTGCTTGCTCACGAGGTCTTCAGAATTGCACAAGTGGGTTCTCTAGAACTAACGAGGTTCCGGCTCCAGCTTCATTCCAGGGTAATCAGAATCACATAGGCAGATCAGCAACTGGAGTCCAGGAAGAGGAAAGGGATGTTGAAGGCTAGGGTCTAAATGCACGAATGCGCGTTCAACAAGTCAAAAAACCTCCTTCAGCTTCCATGTGAAAACCTCTTTAGAAACGCTGCCGCTGAACTTGTAGCAGTGTAGCCTGGGCTGCAAGCTGGATTTCGCCCCCGTCTCCCGTCATCTAAATGCAGGCTCAACAACTTCATTCGCCAGCCTTTCATGGATGTACTTGAGCGCCAATGTCGCTTGGGTGAACCATTTGAGGACCTCTGCAAGAAAGCGTTCAGCTACACTTGGCGGCATTTGGCTTAAATCCATGCGGCAGTCCCCCAAAAGTTCCGCATCCGGCTTACGACACCCGAACCGTCAGTTCAAGCTCTGTAAAGCCGTCATGGCCGCCCAAGCCAGACAAATTGCAGAACAATGAATATCGGAAATCTATGAGTAGCTGTGGACTACGGATCCTGGGCCTGGTCTTCTGCGATGGGCTGGCGTCTCCTTTGCACACCGTTTTAGGGGCTTTGGGGAGTCTTCCGCAAGTTTGAAGCTCTAGAGCTTCCGGGTCGCCGCAAGCTCTGCGCCGAATTTAGGAGCATCCACGTCGCACACCTCAACCTGTGGCAAAACTCTGCTAGGGGCATCTTCTGGCAATGTACTCCGCAGAATTCGTCCGTAGCAGCCACCGACCCCTGGTTCCAGTCTGAACCCATGACCCTTTAAACTCAACACCCCAAAGCAAGCACACCTATCAACCCTAAGCCTGGACCCCGCAACCCTAAAGACTAGCCAGTTCCCGATTTCGATTTCAAACAAGCTCGCTGTGGGTCCTTCTCGCTTGGTCGATCCGTTTCGTGAGGTCGCCACCTCCACTGCTGACAAGAACCCTTCGAGATAGGCACGGTTTGTAGCAGCCTAAGGCTTTCGGATTCAAAACTTCCGGATTTTCCGGTGTTTTTTCGGGCTTGCGGGCTCAAGTTTCAGGGCTTTTCTGTCGCATTTAGTCAGGGCAGCTTAGGGTTCATGGAGATGAATTGCTTGATTAAAAGCTCCTAGGTGCCGGCCTGGGGGTTTCGAATACAGTTTCGGGGCTTCGGAATGTGAGTGTACTTATGTACGTATGTACGTACTTCAATAATAATACACACACATATATATATATATATGTGTGTGTGTGTATGTAATTACAGCTATAATATACATATATATATATATACAAATATACTTACATACACACACATACATACATACCTACATACCTACATACCTACATACCTACATATCCACCTACCTACCTACCTACCTACCTACCTACCTACCTACCTACCTACCTACCCACCTACCTAACCCTGCCTACCTACCTGCCTGCCTGCCTGCCTGCCTGCCTGCCTACATACATACATACATAC